AAAAAATTAATCTACTCGATCCTGCCAGGAGTCGAACCTGGAATCTTCTGATCCGTAGTCAGACGCGTTATCCATTGCGCCACAGGACCGGTTGGCAAGCACTGCTTTTTGTGTCGACTATTTGTGCGCTCCGTCGCTTAGATTCTTCTTCTACTTTTCCAACTATACTATGTCCATTCGTTGGCAAGTGGAACCGGTATATGTATGAGAGATTCCCATTTTGCACGCGACTTTGTGCCATGGTATTTTTATCCCCATTACTCGTAGAGTAAAAGGGTATATTGTATTCGTTGAAAAGCATGTAACACTCAGAAGAAAACGTTTCCGACCCAATAATGCGGGGATGCCCAAGCCCTATGCACACAGGACACCGTTTCACTTTTGTGTCGCTGTCCTCTTCACATAAGGACGAACCAGGGCAAAAAAACATAACATTGAACTTATCTTTAATTGTATTGGCAAGTGCAGGAGTTGAGGTTTCGATTAAAATGAACCTGTTAAAGCTGCATTTATTAAGTTGTCAAAATCACAAAAATCACAAAACATAGACTTACTGGCATAGACGGTTAAACTGAGAGAATTGAAAATACTTGCCGAACAAAAATAACAACTAAAAAGTTCGTAAAATATATCAACACAGAGCGAAAAAAGTGATGGCAACACGTTTTTGCGCTTCACAAAACACGACACAAAGACAATGATTATGATACTGGCGGGTGTGAGTGGGGGCGTGTGGGGCGTGTCGCGTTTGTATCCAACACTCGGGGAGGGGCTGGCAGCGCAGGGGGAGTGGCAGGCGCAGGGCAGACAGTCACACCAGCCACAGCCACGATTCGGCAATACAAAGACAACATGAAATTTTGCCAAAAAACAGACGAAATAAAAGTAAAACCAAAATGGCCGACGTCGCCTGCAATTTTGTGTATAGAAGTGCTCGTATCGCCATTAGGGGTACGGGAGGTAAAAAGGGGGGCAAGAGCGAGATGGCAGCACGTCTGAGTGTGCGGGGCATTTAAATAAAATTAGAATGGGAGTCATGAACACTTACACTTACGCCCTGCCTCCTCCTTCACGAAACTGCCCGCATGCTGATGTGTGTGAGTGGGTATCTTTTCGCTTTCGCATGGCACAGATACACGTTCGCAAGCAGAGAACAAACCGTAGACGACACTTGATAGTGGGACAGCAGCGCCAAACAATGTCTCTAGCCCTGACCCTAATTTTTGTGAAAACATATATTTCGTTGGGGTATTCCTCTTGGGATCGCTGGCCCTGTTCTTGAAACTTGTTTTTAAAGCCGGGTTCCCAATCTGATCTAAACTCGAGGTGTCTTCCGATTAAATCAATCAATTAAATCAATCGACAAATATGATAGTTAAATGGACCCAAACCATCGAATTATCGATTTGACCCATTATTATTACTATTTTAAGAATATTTGTGTAACTACACCCAAAAAGAAACGTTGAGTGTCCATTTAATCAAACAAAACACCTCTACACGAGGTAAAAATCTAGTGACGATCGCACCTTCAACAAACAAAAGTTCTGATATCAACTTTCTAAATTCTTTACATTCGGCACGCTGGAATTCAAGAGAGAGAATTGGGATTTCAGACTTACACCCCCAAACCTCAAAAATCGTCCGTATGATCGCTGATGTCTCGCTCTACTCGTAACGCCAACAAACCACCAAAAACTGTGGCGTCCACATTTTCAAGCATTAAAATGTAATATTTATTTATTTATTTATCTTATAGTGTTGAACCAAGAACCAGCGGTGGGACTTAGAGCCATAGCAGCTAAGGTTTTTGGGCTAGGGGTTTGAGTTGGGTTGTGGGATTACTACAATATTACATAGTATTACTATAATACTTACAAAATGTAATATTTACCAGAGATTTTAATTTAGGTTGTATTTACAATGATGCTATTTCATATTTTGTATTTAATTTTAAAATGTTTTTGCATGGTAAGAGAGGGGCAAGTACAAATAATGTGTCGAATGTGTTTGCTCATTGGTCAACAATGGGCACAGGTTTGTTTTTGTTCTGTCGAGCTAATTGCCAACACAGGCATATTGTATTAAAAAATATTTATACAGTATACATTATACATTCATTACAACACATTCTCGTAGCAAAAGTTGATATCGGAATCTTTGTATGTTGAAGGTGCGATCGTCACTAATTGTTTACCTCGTTAACAGGTGATTTTAGGATACGTTTTTCAAAAAAAATGTTTAAGAAATATATCTTCTTGTTTTTAATTATATCTTGCGTTGCCATTAACCAATTTAGGTGGTATATGTTTTAGTTTACAACTATAATGTCACGCGAATTCGGCTAAATTAACATAACGCCGAGTGTCAAAGTGATCCTATTATAGGGTCAACTTGAAGACCTTCGTAAAAGAGATTTATTGACACTCCGTAGGATTACATTGACCTAAATAGGGGCATATTGATGATTTTTTTATACCCGTTACTCGTAAAGTAAAAGGGTATACTAGATTCGTCGGAAAGTATGTAACAGGTAGAAAGAAGCGTTTCCGACCTCATAAAGTGTATATATTCTCGATCAGGATCACTAGCCGAGTCGATCTAGCCATGTCCGTCAGTCCGTCCGTCTGGATGAACGCTGAGATCTCGGAAACTGCAAAAGCTAGAAAGTTGGGATTTGGTATGTAGATTCCCGAGCGCAAGTTTGTTTCAGCAGGGTACCACGCCCACTCTAACGCCCACAAACTTACAAATTTTAACTGAAATTTATTAGTCTCGTCAATACCTATCCATCGACCCAGAAAAAGTTTTCCATCTCCCTTTGGTCCCTTTAGCTGAGTAACGGGTATCTGGTAGTCTAGGTACTAGACTATATCGTTTTTTCTTGTTTGGGTCTAGATTTGTAGAAACTTATGTAACAGGCAGACGAAAGCGTTTCCGACCTTACACTGAAAAAGTAATTTTTTTAATTTTTCTACAAAAAAATCGACCTAAATGTAAGACCAATACATGCTTTTTTAATAAAATGTTGCCCTTAATTAGTTACCCAGTCGCCATTGACACCCGTTTTAGGGCGAGTCGATCTAGCCATGTCTGTCTGTCCGTATGAACACTGTGTGTACCGCTCACAGTTTTGATCCTAGAATGATTATAACATAAATGTATTGGTTTCATGAATACCTATTGATTGTTCCAAAAGAACTTTGCCACGCCCACTCCAATACCTACAGACCTCCCCTGCAAGCAAAAGGGCGATAATTCTACCGTTATCACCATCACTTCATAGTAACTTCTGGACGATGGAAAGACGATAAAAGACATTTTACGAAAACAAATAGGGTCGGGATCGCGAAGAAGTAACTCTGAGACACTTCTGGACGATAGAACAAATTTCAGAAAAACAAAATTATTGGAACATAGAATGAAAACAGAAAACAACGCTCGCAGGATAAAAGGAGGTTGCGATAAATGGCCGTTACCCTTTATTTGTGAAAATTCCTCGGATCTCCCTTTTGACCCAAGCTATTATTTTTCGCCCGAGCGTCATTTCGTTTCGCAATTTGTCTATGGTCAGTGCGGTTTTGTATCAAATTTGTGTGTTTAAAAATATTGCTTTGTTTTTCTAATTGGTATTAATTGTTTATCATATTAAAATGCCCCTCTCAACAAAGGGTGTGAAATTACGAGCATATACCCTATTCACACAGAGGGGATTTTTGCTTCAGCGACCCAAATCCGATTCAGCGATTTTTTTCCTCCATAAGAAACACCCGTTTTGGAAATAGACGGGAAAAAGTCTCTACAACTCGCTGCAGCGGGAAAATGTACCGCACCGCAAATCGACTCAGTATTCCAATGTTTTATTCAGTATTTTTTTACGAGTTTAGGTGATTTTTGTACTTGGCTCAGTTATAAGGAAATTGTTGTTGGTGCACCCCAAGAAGCCTCCCAACGGCCAGGAACCCAGCAATTGCTTTTTTTAAGGAAATGTCCAACCTCCAGTTTATGTCCTTCATGACAAGACCTGGAATCTGTTGCACCAAAACGTACACTATTTATCGAAAGAAAATCTATTTGAAGGCCATTAAAAAGCAATTCGAATTTGTGATATTGTAGTTTAGAGTGGCTTTTATAAAATTTCATTTATAGATTGTCCAACGCTTATGGCTCAACATGCGGAAAGTGCTTCTATTCCTCCAATTTTACCAACTCTTCGATTGTAAATAAGCATTCAACGCAATTCCATAAACGAGGGCATTATCTCAAGGCCGTTCCCAATTGTTTTCGGCGCGGTCTATCTATTCACACACCCTCGCACTTTTTTTGCTTTGGCTCCCACTTTCATTTTCGCTTTTGTTTGTTTTTTCTGTTTGCTTTTTTTTTGGCAAATAACCTTGATAAAACGTAAACTATTTTTATCAGTGAGAGTGGAATGGGGCCAATGGCAACGAAATTTCTGTTTGGGGTTAGTGTGCCAATTAACGATTAGATTATTCCGGCGCTCCCTCTCCGCTCCACGGCCCGGTTGTGGGTTAATGTGCGAAAATATTTGCGTTCTTCGGATTCTAATTTTTTGCCTGAGTGGTAAACAAATTATCTATGCAAACGTCAGGCGATGCTGGTCAAGTGTGAAGTGCCACGCATAGTAGGTGATCTATAAATAACTTTTAGCTTACCGTCCTAGGACTCCCATTTGCGTAGGTGGTTGGCATAAGACGCTAGCCACAGAAATAAATACCGGGGAATGCGTCATCCATGTTGCACTAGGCTTTTAGGGCGTGGCCTCGACTTGGCTCGAGTTAGTATCAACTGCATAACAATACAAGTTTATAGGTAAAATTGAACAGAATTACAAGATGCGGGTGCTTCAATGACGTTGGTTATGTTCCGATACCCACACCAAATAACTTGGCTAATAGCAAGAAATGAATATAGGACAAAACATTAGTAATCTGAGTTATTTATTGTATTATTTATTCTTATTCAATGTATAGGGGCTTATATGACTTGTGAAACTTAAGTGTAAGCTAAATTTACCTGAAACTTGAGTAAAGTAATGTAAAACTAGGAATAAAGAGTGCTTCGACTATCAGATACCCGCTACTTAGCTAACCAACTTCAAAATAAATTTACTTTTTAGATATAATCTACTTTACATTTTTACATTTTACACTTTTGTCTACTGGCCGTGACGTCATTAACGATATTTTTACTAGATACTTATTAACTAACGGTCCAATTTAACCTTTCTCGGCCTTCCGATAAGTATTGACAAGAGGTTTCAAAATAAAATTTCTTTAAATTGTTTGAAACCCAATACAACACCAATGCATTTCAGTTAAAATTGTCATTCTAGAATTCAAACTGTAGGAGCCACAGTTTCGGGCTGATTGTGGGCGTCGCAGCTGTGCTGAAACAAAATTACCCTGCGCAGCAATCTCTAGAATCTGCATGCCTAATCCCAATATTGTTGACTGTATTAGTTTCTGAAATCACTGCGTTCATACGGACATAAGGACATGGCTAGATCGACTCGGCCAGTGATCCTGACTAAGAATATTTATACACTTTGGGATCAGAAACGCTTCATTCTACAAGTCTCGTACTTTCCGAAGACTCTAGAATACCCTTATCCTGTACGAGTAAGGGGTATAGAACTAATAGTAACGATGCTTGAAAAACAGATGTCACCCTTATGCTTTACGAGTAAGGGGTATAGAAATAATAGTAACGATGCTTAAAAAACAGATAGCAGATTTTAAACATAAACGCCGAAGAATATACATATTAAATTTCTCTAAGCCAGATAAAACGTGTTACTAGCGAGGACGAGCTGTTGAATTAGTTCAGTGACTTCATCCGTTCAATTATTTATAAAGCATTCAACACTAATCGACTCGGGCTTCATCAGCGTCATCATTGTCAAAGCTGACAGTAAAAACAGAAAATGTGAATGCAAAGGGAGAAATGGAAGGCCCAATTCTGTGCACAACACCGATCCAGAAAATACAATGAAATTGCATTTAAATGGCAATAAATCTAAATCAGCAATGTGACAATCACAAATAAAAAACGAAATAACCCCGATTCCAGTTCCAAGTGTGTACAATGTACACTGTACATATCTACATATGTACATGCATATACTCGTGAACCAGACAGGCAAATGACCCACAAAGTAGCCGCACAACAGGAACAACAACGAAAGTGGTGCACTTGAAAAAATGTAAATCAAATATGGCAACTCTCGATAGGAGCAAATAATTGTAGAAACCGAGAAAGCAACCAGGAGCAGGAAAACTGGCTTTGTACCACTGTGCCTGCGAGCATTTAACCTTGAGTCGGCAACTGATTACAAAATTGCAACGATAACTGCCACTGACCCCATGGCAAAGAAAATAAAATGGAGAGTGCCGACAGAGCGGGAGAATGGGCGAAGAGAGCTGAAGAAAGCAATCGCTTATTTCTGCCTTGATAAGTCATCGTCTTAGCAGTCGCAGTTGGAGCAAACAGACGACCGACTGGCAGACAGGCATATTTTGCATTTATTTTGTTTCGTTTCCGCCAGATGTTGACATGATGACCATCAAAAGGGGCGGGGGCTGGTGTGGATGGTAGGATGGTAGGTGTTTAGGCAAATAAAAGCGATTTTGCGTGGCTCTAAGCACTCAACGGAAATTGTATTTGAAATACCAATTAAATAAATCGACCGACTAGACAATTTTGACAACTTTATCCGAACTAGCCGGATCGGACACCATATTCTACAAGATGTGTCCCTAAAGTTCCCGAACTTTTTAATAAAATGAAAACTACAACAGATTTTTGCGTGTTGGTTTTTTCAATACACTTAATAGCTCAGTCCAACGACTTATCAAAAGAGTTTTTATTTGTCGGCCGGATATCGGGTATCTGATAGTCGAGGTACTCGACTATAGTGTCCTTCCTTATTTTTAAATAGATAAGTAAAAACTATAAATTAGTTTTAAACATAATTTTTTTTTATTTTTGTTTTTTGAATAATATAACAATGAAAATTTCTATTTAGAATGCATCAAAAATAAAGTCAACTAGATCATACCTGGAAATATCGCAATGATTATCAGCACATTTTTAGATGAATTTTTTCTTACCCTGCAAATTGGCCAACTGCTCGGTAGTCATAACAATGGGAAGCATATGCTCTGAACTTCTAGGAGCTGTCAATTTTGGATCGGCGATCGGGCCTATATAGCACTTGCGCATCTTCAGGTAGTGCAGCCAGACATTCAGATCCTCACCCATTGAGCCCATGGAGTCGGTAACTTTCCCGCCGGCGTTATGAACATTAAGATCGATATGTCTCTCGTTTACGATCACCTGGCGTGTAAGATGAAAGTGGGTGTTGCTGACGTAAATGTTCGGCTGTGGTGGTCGCGAAATCTACGAAAAGGAATAATATTAGTTTTAGCTCTCTTAAGTTATATGGAAAATTGACCATACCGATAGTCGCTATAAAAAAGGGCAAAAACTATTCAGAATAATGAAGTGTATTCAAACCCGTTACTCGTAGAGTAAATATGGTATACTAGATTCGTCGGATAGTGTGTAAAAGGTAGAAGTTAGCATTTCGACCCCATAGTGTATATATATTCTTGTCCGTCTGTCCGTATGAACTTTGAGATGTCGAAAACTACAAGAGCTAGAATGTTGGGACATGTAGATTCTTGGGCTTCCTGCGCAGAGCAAGTTGGTTTCAGCAACTTGAAAAAATGAGGTTCATTCATGACGCGTATTCTCAGTAAGCATAAAACTAGGTAAATAATCGGGGCGTTTATCCCCACCGGTCCCAACAGCTTCCCTTTTCTTAATTTTCACTTTTTACTTTCACTGCTCATTCTCCAAAACCAATTCAAATTTCCAAGTCCTGGTATGTAATCGGATTGGTGTATCAGTCGTTACGAACGGACCATCACAGCAGATTTTACTCAATAGAGTGCTATGGGATGAGATATATTCATACAGAAAATCGGATGCTCAAGAAATTTCACTAGCGCCCCCTAGGTGAACAGCAGATAGGAATGAACGATAGGTGGCGCTTTAAGTTAGCTGAGTAACGAGTATCTGATAGTCGAGACCCTCGACTATGGCGGTTTCTCTTGTTCATTGTTGCTATGGTTACTATACTATACTTAAATAATTGTAAAACTTTTTTTATAAAATAGTAGGATGAGTGTATTTGATTGTTGTCTGTCACGTAAAAATTTATTTCGGTTAAAAGAGATTTATTTTAATTTTTGGATTTTCCCTAAAATCTCTTTTAAGCGAAACCTATCAAACATATTATTGATCAATTTAGTCTAATTTCATAAAGAATGTTTCGCATTAACCTGATCCTGCATCACGGACCGCATAAAGTTCGCGCTTATTAAGTGGATGTTGCAGTCGCGCAGTTCGACCATCATGCGCTCCATAATAAGGTTCTTTTCGCGCAGCTCGCGCACCTGTGCCTCCAGCTGGCGCTTGTCTTCCTCGTAAAGTTGCAGGGTAAGCTGCCATTCATTTTCGACTGAGCGCACGTCGCACCATTGCTTTTGGCCGAGCAACCGCTGTGCAAGGACCCGCTCCAAAAGTTGGGTCAGTTTGGAAAGGACATATATGCAAGCAAATATCCACAGGAAGCTCACGTACAGCTCAAAGGAATTTTTACCGCTCATGACTTTGCCTCCGGCGTATCTCGGCAGTGTGAGATTTTCTATTTCCGCTATTGTGAGGTTTTCCATTCTTAAAATTCTCGTGTTTATGTTTAGTTTGCTTTGTGAGAATGGTGGAGGGATCACGTATGAATTTTAAAATTTGAAGTCTTTCCATGAAACTACTCTTAAAGCCTGCTCGATTGTTAATATTTCTAATTGCGCTACGCCCGTGTGGATCAGCACTTTTTGAAACATAGCTGTATCATATAGCTAAATGTATATCAGCAGTCTGCTTTAGAAACACTACAGTTTCCCAAAAAATCGTAGATGGAAAGGGTTTATTGTATTCGTCGGAAAGTATGTTACAGATAGAAGGAAGCGTTTCCGACGCTATAAAGTATGTATATATCCTTGGATGGGATCACTGGCCGAGTCGATTTAGCCATGTCCGTATGAACGCTGAGATCTTGGAAACTAAAGGGGCTAGAAAGTTGGGATTAGGCATACAGATTCTAGAGATTCTTGCGCAGCGCAAATTTATTTCAGTAGGCTGGCCGCCTTCTCCATAAACGCCCATAACTCTAAAGTAGTGGTACCCACTGGCCTGACTCGCGAGTCTGGGGGTCCCCTACCGGCGCTCTGCCACGACACCAAATAGTCTTACATTTCTAAAGACTGTCTGAAGATTTTATTCCAGTGTTAAATGTGCACTTGATTTTATTGATCCAATACCTACAAATATACATGCTAAGAATCGTACCATTGTTATTTTAAAAATTATGACTAAATAAGTTAAACATTCTTTGCCATGGTCACTAGTACCTCTACCGTCCGCGTGGTGCCGTGGCACTGACATCGGTGGTGTGTGCCGGGCCATTAGAAATGATCTAGAACTATTTTTTAGTCCTGCCATTCGATTATAGCGTTTCTTCTTGTTGTATATAAAAACAGGTTGATACAACGAATTTTTATGAAACATGAATTATGCCACGTAGAATCCACACAGGTAAAATCACCGTGGTTAAATCAAGTACAAACAGTCTTAATTTAAGAGCGATTTCATGCATACCCTTTTTAGACCGTTCGTACTGAAAAAGGTCTTACAATGAGCAAATTTTGGACTTAAATATCAGTCAACTCTTAAAATTCCCAACTGTTTATTCTGAAAGTGTTTTGTATATAATGCACATAAAATATACACCTTTAATGCCCGTAGGCGGCAAGTCGTAAGTAAACTTATAATTTTAATGTAATTTGGATCCTTTTTCTTCTTACAAGCATAAAATGAAGCCCAATTTTAAAATATATATGTTGATTTAAGAATAAATCGTACTAGACTGAAAGGTTCGAAAAACGTACTGAAATGGAGTATTTTCTTTCTTAAAAATGCGTACTTGAAAGCGGTAATTTGTTCTCGAGACTGGGAATTTCACTGCTTGGCGAAGATTTGACACTGATAGTACTTAATTTTTTCTCTGAGTGTAGCTCCTAGTTCACCCCCATGGCAGACATACGAAACGTCACAAATTGAGAATAATTTTATGAACAGGGTGTGTATGAAATTAAACTTAATTTTGTTATTGTAATGGGAGGCTCCATAATTGCATATAATTTGATATAGTACTTTCAGAAGTGAGTTACTGATAATTTTAATACTCTTAAATAAACAGAATGGTGCTATCTTTTTCAAAGGTAATTTCTGATATACCGACACACATTTTTGAACATTTCAAAGTTAGACGTTAGCGTTTAAAGTTAAAATTGATTTATGGTCTATACTAGAAAGACTAGGCTAACTATCCGTCAATGACTACAAAATATGTCTACAAAATAATTCGACTAGTGCATTTTATTGCGAACATTTTTCCAACTAATTTTTTCAGAGCTTATAATTTTGGCGGTATTATGCATGTACTGTATACATATGTACGTGTGCGTGTCTGGGGTTTCCCACTTTGTTGACTTAATTAGGTAAAACTCGGCGCTAAGCGAGAAGCCAAAATGAGTAAGAACCGCAGCAATTGCGTCGCGACGCGTACAATGAACTTTCGGTGGGCGATCGATTATTCACATAAAACACCTACTTGTGAATGTGTATATGGGCCGTTCTTTTACAACGAACGGATTTCGCCAAAAATATTCTTTCATATTTAGATTTACAAAAACAAATTTTACGAATACTATTTATACTATACTTTGCTTGAAAATCTATTTCTCCCGCTGTGGTTATCCGATTCACTTATTTTTTTTTGTACTTAATCCGCTGAAACCGAACATCACACTTAAAAAAGTTTCAAATATATCAAAAATGGGACTCAAAAAAGTGTACGGTTTGTAAAAGAACGGCCCATATGGATTTCAAGAGTGCTAGGGCGACATCTGAATGCTTAAATTAGTTGCTGAATACAAATCGCTGGCACTTGAAAGAAATTTCGTTCATTGTTTAAGCGTTGTAAAAGCTGCAGTTTTTGGTAAAGAACAAATGAACATACATTTTCATGTTAGAATGAATTAATCGTAAGCCATTGAAAACTTTTAAAACTGGAAACTGATAATCTAGGTATTCCCTAAACTGTTAAATTGCTGAGTTGTTGAATTTTGATCAGCTGCTAATCAGCTGTTCCATACAAAGTTAACAGCAAAGTCAATTTTGTTTAATTGCTGAAAACCAGAGTTGTCGCTGTTCTCGACTCAAAGTTAGAGGGTAACTCTGGTCACTTGTAAACATGGAGGAATTGCAATCGTATAAAATATGCAAGTAAAGGATATCTGATAGGATGCTGCCTGTTAGCAGTTCTAATAGTTTAGATTTCTGGCTTATTCTCGGCGTTTACCTTAATTTTAAACATAATCTTTGGTAAACACAGCCTGGCAATTTGACAATCTGACAAACAGCAGACATCTTAAAATTGAAAATTCAACAGGGAACTTTTAGGATCGTTTTCTTAATTGGTGATATTTTCTGTTGAATTTTCAACATTTCAGCAATTCAACAGTTTAGGGAATACCCTGAATGAGTTCCTTGAAATGTAATTCAAGACACAAATGATCTACTTCAGAAAATCCTTCCCAAAAAACTAAAGTTCAAGGCAAAAAAACTTTTGAACAAGTCAATAAAATGAACAAAAAAACGAAACAGAGAGAATTCCTTACTAATTAATTGTTTGACATTCATACATACAAAGTGCTGCGACAGCAACACAGCAGACTTCACACTTGATTAAATATGTGCAATTTAAAAATAATTTACACAAGTTGGCCTTAGTTCGAAGGATGGAATGCTGGTAGGGGTGGTAGGAGCATAGGGACACCAGCCGAGTGCGACGCAGACGGTGTTATGGCAAGTGCGTGGCTATTTCTGTAACCAGAAGCTTTTCATCGGCCAACGTTGTCTGCTGCTTAATGGTGCATTAGGGCCCAACCCCGGGAAATGTTCTGTAGCGCATGTTGCACTTACACCACCCTACACCACCCTACACCACCTACCGCTACGACAGAAAGACTACTAAAATTAGCTGGAACGTGCCGCAGCAACAAGTGTTCAGTTTCCCCAGCCCCTCTGAATGCTGATGAGATTTTGTTTTGGCCGTACTGCGTTTCGATTTGGCTGTCCAGGAAATAGTTATCGATAACTGAGACAAGGGTACGCCCACCCTGAATGCTTAGTATGCAATCTGGGGGACTAGCTGTCTGTTGGCATTACGATCAGATTCGTTGGCGCCCTGGAGGATGCCACACATTCACATAGGCATGAACGCCTCAAATTGTCACATAAATATCATAATGTCACGTCAACGAAAACAACAATAAACATAAAAATATCGCAGACAGCATAATTCGTATTTCAACCATCTAACAGTACGCTTTGCTTATGCATGGGCGTTTGCTAAACAGCAAAGGTACAAAATAACAAATTTTTCTAATCTAAAAATTTTATTTTCTGCTTTTCAAAGAACGTTTTTTGCCTTATATTTAATTTATTTTTTATTTTTCTAGGCAGTCCGTCAAGCTTCGGTTTCGCAGTTTTTAAATTTTTTCGCATTTTGCACTCATGTTTATTGCCGATGCTCGACACAAACTGCGGCGCGTAATAAAGATTTATGTGCTCCTAGAGCCCAGACTTAGATTGACTGACGTCTGGACAGGGGCAAATCTGAAGCCAAATGTTAGGGGTGGGGGTGTAACTTTTTGAAAATATTACACAAATGTAATTATTTTCCTACCCCGTGATGCGATTTTGAGCCAAAATAATACCTAAGCCCAATCCTCTTTTTTAAAGATACTTCGAGTCCCAAACATTTTCCGCACTTCAAAATGCTTCGTCAAATTCTTGGCCAGACACTGACCCTGACACAGACACTGACCTAGTTAAGGAAATGGCAAGAGTGAAGTGCTTAGGGTTTTTCAAATTTTGTTTATATTAAAGAAAGGTTTTTTTAATTACTTGAATCTTAAGGTAATTATACACTGAAAAATCGATAGCCATTTCAGCAAGCCGATGTTTTTAACCCTTGCAGATTTTATAAATCGAAATGCTCGTCGATTGTTAGCAAAAGCATTGCAATACGATAATCCATTGCAAAGTTAAGAATTTAGGCCATTTTCAATTTTATACGGTTTGCTTTATGTTTGGTATAAACTCGTAGAGCAAAGGGGCTTATTAGAAATGTCCACCTGTCCGTCTTTTCGTCTGTCCGTTTTTACGCAAACTAATCTCAGTTGTAAAGCTATCGGAAACGTTCAGAACCCAGCATTATACAATAAGTAGAATGTTCGCTTTTTTTTCCATAGAGACCCTGGGAATAGAAGAAGACACAACGTTTTTCGAGTGATTAACGAATCGTTGAAAATGTAGTTGTAAAAATATGAATGCATTCCAACGATTGACTTTAACTTCAGTTTTCTATGAAATAAAACAATTGACTTCATAGAAAAATGCGCACCTGTAGTGTAAGTGCTTCGCATGACTTGTGAATATTCAACAAAGATGCTTGTAGTCTAAGCACGCTAATAGAATTAAAAATCGGTGTATTTCGTTTTCGGCAAAACGCATAAGCTTGTAAATTGAAACGTAACATTATCTTGACATTTCTGTGATTATTTTTATACTCGACACCCATAGAATAAAAGGGTATACTAGATTCGTCGGAAAGTAGAAGGAAGTGTTTCCAACCCCATTAAGTAGTACCACCTTGAGATCAAA